TGATCTGATTTTTGAATATGGATTTTGAAAACTAGGGTTTTGTGTAATTTCCTCGTATATATATGTTAGCCATAGCCCATAGGTAACTATTACTATGTTTGGGCCGGGCCGAGACAATTTTTTAGACCTTAAAATTTGAAGGCCCCTGTAAATGAAAGATTAGAAGAAAACATTGCATCTTCAGTCCCCAAACATTTTTCATTATGGCACTTGAATCCTGAATCAAATTTTCTTGATTATCAAATCCCAAATTCCTATGCACACAATTTTCTCTCACACTATCGTAAAGATCCTAACTTGAGCACGATTCCATTCAATTGTACCTTCGTAAGCTCTGATCTCTCTTTATAATTATCTGATAAATTTTTTTATGAAATTCGTTTACTGCAATTTGATTCACGGAAATGCCATTTAGTTCCGATGCTCGTAACAAAATCAGAGAAACCCTGATTAGATTTCGAAAATTCAGTAAGTTTACTTGGTTTGNCTGATTAGATTTCGCAAATTCAGTAAGTTTACTTGGTTTGGGGACAATTTTCATGAAAGCCCGCTTACTTGTAATGGAGTTATTACGTATTTTTCGTCACAATCGTGTAAAAACCCGAACTTTCCTTCAGTTTTGAACCCTAAAGTTCGTGGGCAGTCTCTGGAAAGAGACGATGTTGAATATGGATATGTTGGGATTAGAGAAAAGGGTTTTAAAGAATGTGAAATTTCGATTTCAGATGGACTTCTTGATACGAGTGGAGAAAAATATAACCTTGATATATCGGGCGAGTCTGTGGAGTTCAAAAAAGGGATGGAGAGTGAGGAGGACAGTGAAATTGAATTAAGGGTTTTGGATTCATATAATAGGAATAGAAAGCAAAGTGAAGTTTGTAGAAGTATTGAGGGGGATGAAGATGAATCAAGACACCCACTAGTGAAAGAAGTTTGCAGGTTAATTGATTTTCGGGCAGCATGGACTCCAAAGCTTGAAGGGGAGTTGAGGCACTTGTTGAGAAGTTTGAAGTCTAGGCAAGTTTGTGCTGTACTGAGGGCTCAGTCTGATGAAAGGGTTGCTTTGAAGTTCTTTTATTGGGCAGATAGTCAATGGCGGTACAGACACGATCCAATTGTGTATTATGCAATGCTTCAAGTTCTTAGTAAGACTAAGTTGTGTCAGGGGGCTAAGCGGGTGCTCCAGCTTATGTTAAAGAGGAAGATTGAGTGTAGGCCTGAAGATTTTGGTTGTGTGATGGTTTCTTTCAGTAGGGCTGGGGATATTAGAAAAGCTATGCAGATATTAACTCTAATGCAAAAAGCGGGAGTAGAACTTGATCTGTCCATATGTAATACTGCAATTTATGCTCTGGTGAAAGGCCATAAGTTGGAGAAGGCATTGAAGTTCTTGGAAAGAATGCAAGTTATTGGGATTAAACCTGATGTCATTACATACAATTGTTTAATCAAGGGTTACTGTGATGTACATCAACTTGAAAATGCAATGGAGCTAATCTCAGAAATGCCCTTCAAGGGTTGCTCCCCAGATAAAGTTAGTTACTATACCATTATGGGATTTCTCTGCAAGGAGAAAAGGATCGATGAAGTGAGAGGGTTGATGGAGAATATGCTGAAGGATAGTAAATTGTTGCCCGACCAAGTTACTTACAACACCATTATTCATATGCTTTCCAAGTATCTTCATGCGGATGAGGCATTAGGATTTCTGAGAGAAGCAGAAGAAAAAGGGTTCTTTATTGATAAGGTCGAGTACAGTGCAGTAATAGATTGCTTCTGTCAGAAGGGGAGGATGGATAGAGCAAAAGAACTTGTGAATGAAATGATCTCAAAAGGATGCACTCCTGATGTTGTGACATATACTGCTGTTGTGAATGGGTTTTGTCAAGTTGGAGAGCTTGATCATGCTAAAAAGTTACTTCAGCAGATGTACAAGCATGGTTGTAAGCCAAACTGTGTATCATATACAGCATTGTTAAATGGCCTTTGTAGGAGTGGGAACTCAACAGAAGCGAGGGAGATGATGCACATGAGCGAGGAGGAATGGTGGACCCCAAATGCGGTGACATATAGTGTGTTAATGCATGGATTTCGTCGAGAAGGGAAGCTGTCTGAGGCATGTGATTTGGCCCGGGAAATGATCAGAAAGGGCTTTTTTCCTACTCCGGTTGAAATTAACCTCTTGATTCAATCTCTATGTCGAGAGGACAGAGCAAGTGAAGCAAAAAAGTTTATGGAGGAGTGTCTGCATAAAGGGTGTGCTGTCAATGTGGTAAACTTTACTACTGTCATTCATGGATTCTGTCAAAAGGGTGACTTAGAGGCTGCTGTTTCTGTCCTTGATGACATGTATTTAAGTAACAAACACCCTGATGTTGTTACGTATACAACAGTCATTGATGCATTAGGGCGGAAGGGTAGAATAGATGAAGCAACTGAACTGGCCAAGAAAATGCTTCACAGTGGTTTGCTTCCTACTACTGTAACATATCGCTCGCTCATTCATCATTTCTGTCGTCAAGGCAGGGTAGATGATCTGTTAGAATTATTGGAGAAGATGCTTCCAAAACAAGACTTCAGAACTGTGTACAACCAAATCATTGAAAAGCTTTGCAGTTCTGGACATGTCGATAAGGCTTACAAGTTATTGGGGAAAGTTCTGAGAACGGCATCAAGAACTGATGCGAACACGTGCCATGTTCTCATGGAAAGTTATATGAAGAAAGGAAATTCTCTCGGCTCATATAAAGTGGCTTGTCGGATGTTCAATAGGAATCTGATTCCTGATATTAAGTTATGCGAGAAGGTGAGTAAGGAACTAATGTTAGAGGGGAAAGTTCACGAATCAGATAAACTTATGCTACGGTTTGTGGAGCGTGGCCACATCTCAAACAAGTGTCACCATGCTGGGTTTGGTCAAGGAGTTCATCTGGCTTAAAGAGCTGTAGGTGCGGTCATGCTTTTAATTCACATTACTGCAGCTACGAAACTACCCTAGATCTTCTTAGGCAAAGAGATGTATATTCAACTCAACTCAATAAAATCGTCTCCGGTACTTGTTTGAGGTTGACTTACGTGATCTCATCATTCATTCTGCTCTTTTGAGAGCAGTAATTCTTTTCAATAACCTAATAACATGAAATTTTGGGTCGACTTCTTTCTTTATGCTTGCCATTAACTCTAGACCCTCCTGTTTTCATTGTGCATCTAGGCGTGTGGCCAAACCATCACGATAGTAGTAAGTGAAGATAGACGTTAAAGGAAACCGCACTTGGTGAAAGCCCCCTTCTGAATTAACTGCAATGGATTTTGCCCCTGGTATGATATATTTCAAACATTTAGCTATTATTTTTCAATTTTGAAATAGTTGGTAATTTAGACATCCACAGTAATTGTCATTTTGAGCTGAATATATAGTTCTTTTCATGAGCAAATTTGTCTCGAGATATTCTTGTTACAGCTCAAGGTTACTAGCTTGAGTAACTGTGAAGAAACTTGTGGACCTTGATTTCTTAAAATTATTAGTCTTTAAGGCAACTCCTAGTGGGGGTTGTCTTGCAGTGACCCTTACAATTTCTGCCTTGTACCACAATTTGTACCCTCTTTATCAATTGATACATGTGCAGTATAAATTAATAATTCAGCCTAATTGATGCATGTGCAATCTAGATTAATAATTCAGCCAACCTGCAGATTTGATACATATATATTGAACATGTGATCTCAGTTTCATCTGTTGAATGTGGAATTATTTCGAAGCTCGACTGTGGATCAATTGGTTACATATGTTAAGTCACTCTAATATTCTTAACATGACGGTAAGGATAAATATGCCGGGCCCAAATTGGGAAAATGCAATCGTCTCAAGATTGATTATGATCTCTGCTTTTTGAAAGTGAATGACTATAATTGCTTTTCATAAAAAGAAAAAAAAAGGAGAGAGGTGAAAGGATTTAATGTCTACCAACTAAGACAGCACGCATTGTCTCCCTTGGAGCTATCAATCGCTTTCTTTCATTGGCCTTTTGAGCTCTTTTTTCCACTTTCTTTTTTTAATATTCTTTTCCTAGTATTTTATTGAATTTCTCAGGTGAATTGTTTTGCGAACTGGTGTGTTGTGTTATCATGAATATAACTACTGAGTGCGTGTTTTAGTATTTACTATTGAATATTGAACTATAATATGATTGATATAATTTTAACTTATTTTTCTTCTTTAATAATTCTGTGGGGACAATAAATGGTATTGACCACACACCATGTGCATCGACTGGCCATGCAACCCAACTCTTGCCTAATACTTGCACGACGAAGAGGTCCACATAGAGGCATCGCTAAAATTCGATCGTTAGTTGAGCAAAAATGGTCAACTCAAAAGGGTCCAAATATGACAAAAAAAATTATCTTTAATAAATTAACCTAGTAATTTAAATATTGGGTTAAAATTCAAGTCAAATTTAACAATTAATTTTAATTATATATTTCGTAGGATCCACAATTTTCAATCATACAATTATCAGTTTATATCAAAATTTACTAAAAATCTGATTTTTTAGGTTAAACAGACTTAAAAGTAGATTATATAAAGATGAACCTTTTCAGGAAAGAAACTCTAACATCAATTCATTTTTGCTCCTAATATATTGTAAATTGACTAATAACCAACCTTACAGTTATTATCAAAATGAATATTAATTTGTCATGAAAAGGAATACGAATAAGCTTATTTTATTTTCAAGCAATCATAATTAGCCATAAATCGGGTGGCAATAGCATCAAGAAAGGCAGCTTTCCAGGTAAGCCGGCGTGTCATATGAGATGATCACAGCATATATAGACTATTGCGTATGATATTATTCCTTCTAATTAACATTAATCACTGCCAACAAATCCTGTCTCTTAATTTTCGCCGGCGAGACAGTTCTCACCGGCATCCGCCGGAAAAATATGGACGAGTCATGGAGAATGAGAATGGGAATGCCCACTAAATCAACTGAAACAGCAACGGTCAAATCAAACCTCCTTCGCCGGCGATCCACCGAGGAAACCTCTCATAGTAGAAACCCCAACTCCGACAACATCCTTTTGGACCCTGAAGACTTTAACGACATTTTTGGTGGTCCTCCTCGTACTATTCTCTCTCGCCAGTTCTCCAGTGGCACTGGATTTTCAAGATCATTTTCATCGACGGGTTTCTTCTACGAGGAGATTTTCAGACAGCCGGAGAGAGTCGGTTCGGTGTCGGGGAGGAGTGGACGAAACTTGCCGGAGTTTAGGATTCCGTCGAATAGGGGAGGGCGGCAGAGGAGGGGTGAGTTTTATAATGATATTTTTGGTTGGAAAGATGAAAAGGTGGTGAGGTCAAGGACAAGATCAAAGACAAGCTCTTCCTCGGTGTTGAGTTCCGAGGATCTCAGCCCTCTCCGGCCGACGGTCTGCGTCAACAGTGACAACGATGTCTCTTTCTTTGCTTCCAAGCTCAGGTGAAATAGTTCAAAACATATCGTTTAGACAGAGTAGTTTATTGTAGAATTAGAGGAATGAAGATACCAGGTTCAAATATCACCGCCACCATAACTATTTTTCACGGGCTTTGCAATTCATAATAAATTAAGGTGGCACTTAGCTTCGCCTTTTAGATGAGTTGATCGCTGGCAACACATAAATAGCTGTATTTGTAGAGACTGACGAGGGTGTACTCACAACTCTAGACTTGTTAGGGTAGTGCTATGACCTGAACTGTAGCAAATTAGGCGTTCAACCTAAAACTTCTTACAATGTTTTCACATTCATATACTCATGTTTAAGATTTATGTAGATTTTTAATGTGGATGATGTGCTTGATTTTCAGGCCAATAAATGTCGGATCGAGATGGACTTCAACAAGAAAGGTGCCTGAACATTACCAAAGACAAAAGAGCGTGCCAATATTTGCAGGCAATCAGTCAATGTACAGTACTGAAGATGACTACAATGAGAACCTTAGAAGTTCCCCTATTGGATTTTGTAAAAAAAATCCTTCCCCCGAGACATTTAATTTTGAACCAATATGGAACACAAGCATTAGATTGTCTACTGAGAATACAGAACTCAATTCACCATCATCCACGGTCTCTTCAGTTTGTGAAGAGCCACAGGATAAATTGAACAAGATGTTCCAGAAACACGGGACAGAACAAGAGGGGGATGAAGATACGAGGTCTTATGTTATCGAGATCAACTCTGATCATTGGGAAGGAACGAGTGAAGCAATTGGCGTAGACGAAGCAATTGCATGGGCAAAGGAGAGTTTTCAGACACAATGTTTGGAGAATAATTCGAGCACACAAGAACAAGTGAAAGAGCCCCTTGCAGAAGGTTCTGAGTTTCTCTAGCCAATTGATTAAAATGATTGTGTATTGTTGAACCGCCTAGTCTAAAAGCTTGAATTTGACATCAAAACAGGCAAATGTCCTGGGTTCAAGTATTTGTTTCCACACTATTTTTTTTAATTGTACATGTGTGAGACCTTTAACCAAAAATAATAAGTTCATCCCGAGCATGTTGGGACAAAAATCAAATAGACAAATTTAAACCCTCTATATAAACTTAAGCTTTTAGATGAAGTGGCTCAACATGTACATCATGTTTTGTATGTGGTGATAATTACATCTTTTTCATGTCTGTTTGAACTCTTGCAGAAATTCTAGAGGAGCCTCGACTAGAAGAGGAGCAAATGGATGGTCATGGATCAACACAAGGGCTGCCGGTAATTGTTGATTTTACTAGAGATCAAAAATATATTATGGCATGCTAAAAATATTATATGAAACTGAAAAAACAGTGAATATACGTCTTAATTGTAAGCTTCCAACAGATTTACTGTCTATGGTACCATTCTCTGTAGGATGAAAGAATTTCAAGTTGAACGGTGTTGTGTTTCATGAATGTAATCAATAAAAGAAGCACGAAAGCGTCAAAATTGTCATTATCTTGTGATTACGAGTAAGAAAGAACATCATCCACAGAGATTACCAGTGGCTATTTTTGAGTGTCTGGTTCTTTAAAGTTGTTGGGAGTCGGAAAATGCTTTTTCAGGTCTTGATTTGTAGCATCCTATTGTGTTCAAATTGGGGAGAAGGTCCATCAGATTATTCATTCATGGTATGTTTGGTACACGAGTTATTGAGCTTTTGATCAATTTCATAATTTGCAACAGGTAGAGATGGAAGCGCAACTAGTGGATGAAAACATTAGGCTGTGGTCGACTGGCAAGGAAGCTGAAATCCGGTTGCTGCTTTCTACGCTGCATCATGTTAGATCGATTTACAGTCTCAAAATTATTATCAGTATTGCTTATTATATGCAAGTTAGCTGAAAAACTGCTCTTTTTTATTTGGTTACCCCATTCAGATTCTATGGCCTGAAAGTGGTTGGCTCGCTATTCCTCTATCGAATCTAATCAAAAGTTCTCAAGTGAAGAAGGCATATCAGAGAGCACAGTTATGTCTACACCCGGACAAGCTGCAACAAAGGGGAGCCACAGTCCCACAAAAATACATAGCAGAGAAGGCCTTTTCAGTTCTTCAGGTCAGTTCATTCGTTTTACTGATGCAACTGATAAATCTGCATATACTCCCACAAAAATGGAACAAATGGAAATGAGATTTTAGCAGACTCGAGGGAAAATATGAATTTCGTTAACTTTTTTGCTTCATTTGTTATAGGATGCTTGGGCAGTATTTATATCCCAAGATTTGCCATCGTTGAAGAATTACTAATGATCGAGGCAAGTTCCTGCTGGTACGGACTACATTAGACCGTGTGATTAGTATCATCAAGTTTGAATTTGATTATACTTTACGCAAATAGCTTGTATAATTATCAGTGTTTCACTTCCCCTGCACTTCTCATATATTTCTTGAAGTAAGTTGTACCCTTCATGTCTTTGATATAAATTTTCCTTTTGAATCGGTTCATATTTAATTATATTGTCAAGTAAATGTTATACCCTTCATTTCTTTGATATGAATTTTCATTTTTGATTCGTTCATATTTGTCAAGTAATCAATGAGACTTCGTTCAAATGAGAAAGGGTATTGATGTGTTCAGTGCGTCGAACTAGATACTACAGTCAGATTCAAGTTCTACACTCCTATATATAATTTTCTTCATCGGCGCACAGACTGACCCAGTATGGTCCACACCATGCTATATAAATTTATTCAGCACGACAGGGTATAGAGAGTAGCAAGTGCAAATTTCCCAAAAGGCTGAGCCTGCTCAACTCTCCCAAATGAAGAGGAAAAGATAATTGTCCAAAAACTAATGCAGCTTCCATTACAGTTTCACTGCATGAAATTGGATCGGTAGAACCAAGCTCACCATATCCAGTCACTTACCATGACATGCTCGAGGATGGGTAGATCTAATGATTCTAGGAATGTTAGCAAGCACATCGTCCACAGACATTTGCAAAATGGCAGTACTTATTCAACTCGATTTCCCATTAAGTGATTACATGCAAAATAGCATTCCAATGCAGAATTATTAACAGTTAAAAGAAATAATGAACTAAATTAGGGAATGTTCTCCCCCTGAAACAGAAACATCGCCTGAAGAATGAACAAATTTTCCTAGCTGTTTCAAGTTTGAACCTGGGATCTAGCTATATATCTTCACTTTGTTCTAGTGATAACTCTTTGCGTTAATTCTACAAGTGCCCGCCTTGATCTTTGAACATCCTTGTCATCATTTCGAGGTAGGGAATCAATTGCAGCAGAAGCAAGATTAGCATGCTTTCTTGCTAGGTCCCTTGTTCTCTGTATTCCGCGACTTCTTCCAAGGTATTCCAGAGCCTGTAGTTTCAGTTGTTAAATCAGTTTCATCCCTTCAACTATACAAACAGAGGATCAACTAGCCCAAAGGATTTTATTAAACGGGTTGTCTAAAACACGAAAAATCATTTTCCTCAAAGAAAGAAGAAAGAATGGAAACTTTTCTGCGACTTTTTCCAATGTATTCCAAAGCCTGTAGTTTCAGTTACACCAGTTTTATCCCTAAACTACACAAAGAGGATCAACTAACCCAAAGGCTTTGATTAAAGAAACAGAGTTGTCTAAAACATGAGAAATCATTTTCCTGAAAGAGAGAAGAAAATGAAAATGAAGAGCAGATTCACATTAGATTCCTCTAAGCAAAACATAATTTACACGGTCAAGGAATCATTTCCTTGCCCATCTGACGGGCTATATCGTCCCCTAAACAGATTTTTGTATTAGCATTTCATGTTTTTTGTCAATCACTTTGAGAAAATTTTCCCCAAATTAACTGGTTTAATAGGATAGAAAAAACCAAAAAATAAAATAAAATTTGTCTCTTAACTAGAGAGAGAGAGAGAGTACCAAAGCAGCTTTTGTAAAATCAGTATATCTAAAGTTTGCAGAAATCTTACAAGATCCACGTTTACAGGATTGTCAAATCCTTGATCGACAACAGCTCTCAGCTCAGGAAACTCCTCCATAGCAAACAATATTGGAGCAGTAATAATCCCCTGAAATTCATCGATTCTCAGTATGTTATTTCTCAAATCAGGAGGGTATATTAAGCAGGTAATGGCATTATATTATCAGTAATTAGATACCATCATAAGTTTAACATTTACTCGCAGTTGCACATACGTGCAAAAAAAAGCATCATAAACCAAAAGCATCCGGTGCTCTTGGAAACTGAAGGGTAAGCCAGGGATTTAGAATCGATTCACATTACTGAAAACAAAGGAAGGAGAAAAAATTGCTTTGGTATTAAGAGACTATGGGAAGTACTTCATATATTAACACTCATAATATAGATTCCATGATATAGTGCAACAAAATGGATCAACACAATGAGATGAATTTTTCATTAGCACGTTTCTGAAATCTAAAGATTTGATCCTTCCAATAATTTACCCTAATCCAACTTTTTGTGATGCTGCCAAAAGGAGTTAAAGGTTAATCTCTTTCCAGACAGGTCTACGTAGAATAAGTTAAGCAAGTACAAACATGCCCGTAATGATTACAGAAATTGCCATCCACCAATTATATAATAAATTTGATCATATCAGGATTCTATCAAATCAATATAAACAGATAGAAAGAGTACGTGGCGAATGTCAGACAAGGAGCCCTTTCCAAGGGAAGTTGATGTGCCAGTGAAGTCAAGAACGTCATCTATTAGTTGATATGCCAACCCCTGCACAGACAATCACAGGACAATTGATCAATTGAATTATTGAGCTAATTGCTATACAAGAAATGCTTAGAAAAGAACACGGACCAAATTTTTTCCATACTCAAAGGCCATTATTGAAACTTCTGTTGTTTGCCCAGCAAGAAGGGCAATTGCTTTGCAGCTATTTGAAATCAATGATGCAGTCTTGTAGTATGTCTTCTGCATGTAGTATTCCATGCTGCAACAAGAAACAATTATATGCTTAAAGAAGCAAGATTCCTAATGGCTAATGTATGTGGAAACCTCCTCAAACAACCTATGGCCATCACAAAAGTTCACTACTTTCGTAAACAGTATCACGTTCTCTTGTGCCTATTGCAAGCAGTAGTCGACCACCCAACATCATTAATGAACTATTGTAGTCATAACCATTAACTTCACTTATTTTTCATCCTTATTATTTTTACAAGTTTCAAAAACTAATGTGAACAAGTGCAGTTGCCACTTGCCTTGAACTCACTTACAGGATGGTTGGAAACATCTCCCTTCAGGAATTGTCAAAATTCCAAACTATCTTTCATTACTAACACCTTAGCAGCTCAGTGAAGAAAATATACGAGTGTTTAACTTATGAATTTCTATCCGTTATCTTCAATCAAAAGTTAGTGCCAGTGATACCATCATGAAGCAGCACACCTGCAACGTTGATCAGATGTAGTGGACATTTGCATTGTCTCGCCTGTAACAAGATGCTCAACAACTGTTGCCAAGAGGGATACAACCTGTAAAGACAAAACAGAACATAAAAACAAATGAAAGTTAAGAGGATAGAAAGTTGCTTTAGAGCCTGCACACAGTGTCGTGGGCCACAACTAGAGTCTGTGACACATAGATATAGCTAATAACTGATCAGAAGATATGGAGGGATACTCTAGCATCAACCTGTTATGAGAAAGCACATTTTGGGGGTATGGAATGAATCCCATAAAAAGGGGAGGAAAGGGACAGAATACCTCGGTGTTCTTTAATGAGGCAAGTGCAACACAAGCTCTAGAAAGCAGGAAATCACCGGCCAATACAGCTAACTGCAATGTTAAACAATAAAAGTAAGTGTATCATAACTTATTTAATTCAAAAGCAGTGATCAGAATGAACCATCAAAGGCTACGAATCAATTATAGCCAGTATAAACAGCTGAACAGAAGATCAAAACGCTAGGAAAGCTATCTGTAAAAGCTAGGTTTTTAATTCCCTTTTAGCTTCCAATTTCTTTCGAGACTTCCATTTCATTCTAATTTCTCATTTTGTTCCCTTTGTGTGGAAAGGGGAGGCAACATGTTTAGGAATCTTAACTTAGTAAACCAACAAAACTTCATCTAGGACTGTATCATCTAAAAGAACTTGGGGCAGAGATCGGCAACTTTTTTCGTCTAAAATAGGTTTGGACAGAAGGATCAGGAAAATTATCCATCAATATTAGACTCGTACCCCATAGAGCACATCGAGTCAAGAACAATAATAAATACACATGGGGCTCAACAAATGGCCTGCTAAAAAGCATTTAATTTACCGAACTCCTCAGAATGTTTAATCAGACTCAACTCATGGGATGATGGGATAACCATGAGGGATTTTAAGCGAATACAAGCATTACTCCCACTCAGGTTATCTCCAACAGCTGCTGCTAAAAGATTGCTCTGGAGGTAGTTATTAGCATTCCCACACATGCCTAAACCTATCAATATCTGGTGTTAGTAATGGGCCTCATTTTTTAAATTACCGCAAGTTCAATTGTTTCTTAAGAAATTTCTAGAAAGTCTTTGTGACAGAAAATTTCTAACTAGTCAATATTTTTTTGGCCAAATGAAATTTGTCTCCCACCAAAATTTTTGATATGCATCTGTTTAGTAGAGATTAAAATTAGATTTTTCATAGATTTTGATAAAAGTTAATTGAATGTGTGGTTGAAAAGATGTGGGTCTCATGAAATGTGCAATTAAAATTAATTGTTGACTTTGACTTAGATTTTAATCAATTTTTTAAGTAGCACCAAAAAGGGGCTACATATGGCTATTCAGTCTTGCAAAATGACTGTAGCACTTCTAATGAAAATGTCTAGGCAATCTAGGTTAAGTTGACAAAGAAGACTATAATGTCTAAATTGACTAAAAGATATCATGACTTTGCCTAGTTTGACAAGAATGCTTAGATGGTATGAATGGACTAGAAAGTCTTGTCAACTTTGCTTAGATTGAGGAAAAATCTTGAAATCGTGCAACAACGAAGGGGGGTGAACTTAGTAACACATTTGAAGAGAAGTGTATTAGAAAATAAAAAATGGATAATATTTACAAAGCCAAAAGTAGTGGACAAAATTCATTTTCTTACTCTAAAAGTGTCCCTACAGGGGAACTTCCTCTTTAAGAAAAATGATAAAAGTTTACAACATTAAAGAAAGAGGAAGACCACACATACCTCATAAAAATAAAAATAAATGAAAGAAAACAACCAAAAATAATAGTGGACCATAACATAGAGATAGAATATAAAGCAGAAGAACATTCCATTATCATAAATTCATAATTCGCAAACGTGAAAGATAAACAAAGCAGATGTTGCAAAGTTACGAATGGTCATATTCAAGTTTCCCAATTTTCTTTTTTCTTAACATTTATTAAAAATAAGAACCAAATACCTTATTTCCCATCACGAAGTTCAACGAACCAATCCCACGCCTCGTATCAGCATCATCCAACACGTCATCATGAAGGAGGCTGGCAACCTACCAAATAGAGGAGATGATAATAATTGTTCATTGTTGCCCTAAATCAGTAACCATTTTTTTCTCTCCTAAGACAGTCAAGCACTAGAGTTATGGCACCTTCAGAAGGGAAATTGAAAGATTTTGAAAACTGTTCAGTTCACTAGGAAGTCGTAGAACAATATTGGACAATATTAGTCTTTTATTGGGCTTTTCCATTTTTGTGCAGAACAATCTATGAAAAACAAAAGCCAATGAAAATCAAGGTAAAAGAGAATATACGATATGGAAAGAATTACAAGTAAACAAGTGTAAGAAGGTGAATTTAAACATTCCTACACGAGTATTTCCGGATGTAGCTCCATAATCTACAGAATTCAAAGAAACCACACAACTTTTTTTTTTCTATTTCCTCATGACCTTTAAAAAGGTCAATTTCCACCATCTGCCAATGCAATCATACTAATTTATTGGTGATTCAGCCCTAAACATAGAAAAGGTTAAAAACCAAAAAGTTAAAAGAGTGCTAGACTTTTTGAATGCTGTCATTACAACATGCATAGCCTCTAGGATGCTAGACACCACCCAAACGATATTTAGGTAATACCCTGTAATTCAAATNGAGGGATGGGATGGGGCAAGAGACTAACATGGATCATCTCTGTTATCTCAGCTACACATTGTTGTCTTGTGCGTAATTCCACTGACGAAGTATGAACAGTAGCATCAGGAGGTAGTCTGGACATTGGTAAATTTAAAGCTGTTGCCATTAATAACAAAACCTGCAAGTGCAAGGCACATTAGTTATATTAACAATTCATGGAAGTAGGATAACCACCAATGCAGAATGTATATAAAAAGTTCATCTAACTCGCTGCTAAGAAGAATATAACAGTACATGAGATTAAGATTATCCTCTTGCCAACCAATAATAAAAGTTACCACTATGGTTCTACCCATAACACTCACACTGCCCTAGACAAATTCAGTGATAACACATTACCCTTTCCCAATAATAGTTCTCTATTTTCACAAGATATTAGTAATGACAATATAAATTGCAAAATAAAACCATTAAGATTATCGTAGGATCATGGCACTTGACCCCCCAAATTGAAATGAAGATGTTACCGTGGGCCGAAATCTTTTTCCTTCCACTCCCATTTTAAAGAAGTACTCAGCAGCAGAGGCAAGTTTTGGAACCTACAAGAGATTGAAAGAGGCGCTACTTTACATTATTACAACCAATTGTCAACCAAATCAAATACACATGAATGTCAAATACCTCCGCAACTACCATGGACCTTAACCTATTTGCAAGAATCGATAACTCATCGGCAACAAGAGAAAATGGATCTAGTTGCTCCTGAGAGATAAAAAATAATATAAAATTGTTAAGTGAATTAATTCATATCTTTCCCATGTCTTTACAGACCCCAAACATACAATCCAGCAGCAAAATGTGAAAGGTAACAGAGTAAACACTAAGAAATGCAGTGTCATCTTGTGCTATTGTATCCTGAATCACTGTATTAACACAGGACAATAAGCAACTCAAAAAAATTGGCTCACACACAGTAAGCAAGAAGATTAAGAATTGAGCCAACCTCTACAGAGCTGCTCTGACGATGAGCTTGTTTCCCAATACCACTAAGGGCACTTGAAACCCAGGAATAAATAACTCTGCAACCCAAAACCTACTAATCACCAGCAACAATAACAAATATAGTATAAACAATCACAATTTATGAATGGCAGATAAATGTCAGTAACTCAAGTTATCAGAAAAAAAAGGAAATCAAGATTAAGAAAAAAAGACACAACAATGGGAATGGTAGAGTGGAAGAATAATACCTTATGACTTGAGAAAAAGAAAAATAGACAATAGGTGAAAACGAGAAAAACAACCAGAGTTACAAAATATTCATTATGCAAATATCACCTGCTAAAATCCTAAAACAACCAGTAACCAAATCCATGCGAGCCGGCCCTAGTTACTACTGCGTGAATTAAAAATTTCTCCAAGATCTTTTATGCCTACCAACGTGAAATTCATGCCTTCCAATATTTGCCACTTTACAGTTGTACTAAGCATTGCAAAATTACTCGCTCTTCATCTTTCTATCTTTCCAATGATTTTAGCCTAGGCAACACTTTTTAAGAACAAAAGAGAAATTAGCTCAAAATGATCTGGTAAACATTTGTTCCAAGACCCAACTTTTAACTCAATAAACGCTCTCTAATACTTTAGCTACCAGACATCACAATTACAGAAATTCACAAACTTCCACGTCACCTCAAGAAACACCTTATCAAGAACACATTACTAAACGGCCTACAAAAAATCTCCATCAAGATAACAGCATCACCAACATAAAAAGCTGCAAACTTTATGCAGTAAATTATTGAGCTACACTTCGGTAAACTAATTTAGCGCCCACAACAAAGCAGCCTCTCCACTATAAACCCATCAGGTAATCACAATGTACAAATTAACTTCAATAGCTAGAAACACAACTTTCCAAACAATACCTAAACATAGAAACAACAATCACAGAAAACACAAACCGAACAAGTAATTCACCTGTTCAGAAGAGTGAATGGGGGCAGGAAAGTGATTGGTGTGGCGTAGCAATTGGTGTCCATTGTAACACAAGATCCATCGACTTCGGCTGTAGCCCGACCTCGCTACCCGGGTCAATCCCCTTGCAAATAACATCTCCTGAATCCCAATATATGTATTCGAGTTCTGTGTCTATCCGTGTAAGTATTAACTCGGAGAGATTTTTGTGGAGATGGAATCCCTGGGTCGAAGGAAAGAGGACGAAAAGCACGAAGCAATGACGAAAATAGCCGACGTTAGTAGTGTTCGCAAACAAAATTATTATGCAATTCAAAGAGGGCGGCGACTCGGACTCACTGAGTCACTCTTTCTAGTATGTGTTAATTAATGGTGCTATGTGGTTCGGCTTTGGCCGTTTATTCAAAATATAAAGAATAAAGCTACGTGTACACAATTTTTTACACAATTAGGTTTAAGCAACGTGTAATGCACGTTTGCTTAGTTTATATATAATTTTTTTGGTTAAGAATTACATTTTTATTAATAAAGATGTAATTTTTTTGATTAATTAAATAACTGATAATATAATGTTTATATAATTGATAAATAATTACACATTGTGATATATTAAAAAAAGAGTATTAATAGAATCTATAGCATTGTCTTATAAATAAACATCGCTCATAGTTTTATGAAAGCCGTTTGAGATAATTTTGATTCTAAGATGACGATTCAGTGTTTTCATCATCTTACACTGCTTCAATATAGAGGACATTAAACTATCTATATTTTTTCTCATTTAGTTTTTCCGGATCTACATAAACTTGAATCTTCCAAATTTTTTTTGATAATTTCTCTGCAACGCTTTTAACATATGGTCTATTTTTCTACAAAATAAATATTGAATAGGTTTACACAATTAATAAAAAATACAATTATTTTTTAAATAACTTATTATAATAAAAATCAAGTTTGAAGAAAAATTTAAGAGATACCTCTCCAGTAT